TGGCTGGACTGGGAATGTCTGAGCCATCATGGAGGGATGGACTGGCTGGACTGGGATGGATGGGCTGAACTGGGATGGAATGGCTGGACTGGGAATGTCTGAGCCATCACGGAGGGATGGACTGGCTGGACTGGGATGGATGGGCTGAACTGGGATGGACTGGTTGGACTAGGATGAACTGGTTGGACTGGGATGGACTGGGATGGACTGGCTGGACTGGGAATGTCAGAGGCACAGCCTGTTCATGTCACCTGGATGAAAAGTCCTGCTCTCCAGAGCCCTGGATCTCCTGCCCATCAGAAGATCCACCTGTACCCGCTTCCCGCAGCGTTTTCCTCCCCTTTTTGGGGAAGGAGTTGGTCCCCCCCTCTAAAGATCCCAGGATGTGTGTGGTGCCTGAAGCCATTTCTCCTTCCAGCCTTTCCTGATGCACTCCTGAGCTTGCAGGAAGGAAGAAGAGAAGGAAAAAAAAAACCCAAACACTTTGGAATTCGATCCCATTCCACTCCTTGGACAACATTTTTCCTCCTACAGGTTTGGGAGCCCATCCCAGAAAACCCAATCCCTTGGGGGGGAGTCAGAAAATCTTGGAATGGGGTTTTTTCCCCCTCTGGACACAACCCCCAGGACGTACCTTTGGGCCTGGGGGGCCTCTTTCCCCTCTCAATCCATCCTTCCCAGGATCCCCCTGGAAGGAGCAGGAACGTGGGTTAGTTCTTTGTCCCTTCTAAAATTCCCGGTGGTGACGATGCTGGAATGGATTCCCATTGGATGAGGAATGGGATTCCTCATCCGTTCCAGCATTCCTTGTGTCCTGGTCCGTGCTGGTCCCAAATTAACATCACCTTTTCCAGGTGGACCAGGAGCTTTTCCCTGGATCTCGCTCATTCCCGTTTTTCTGTTAACTCTTCACTCGACCTACAGCTCATATTCCTGAGAACTTTCCCGCTTTTCCTGCTTTTCCTTTCCCCTCCTTGGGCTAATAATGGAATTCCCAACCCAACTCTGCCTCAGCTTCCTTGTCATCCCAGCCTGGCTGATGGAACAACGTCGTTTCCTTGGAAAAGCTGAGCCTGGGAGCTTTAAGTGGGATTTGGGAGCTTCCAGACCCACATTCCTTGGAAGCTCTTTGTCTTCCACAAACTGGAGTTATCCCAGCATTCCAAGTCATCTTATTCCCTGTTTTCCCAAAGCAGTGAGGAAAATGGAGCAGGGGCTGAAAATCCCTCTGGATTTTCCCTGTGGGAACGTGAAGCTTGGAAGGAAAACTTCCCCTTGTCCCACCAATCATCCAAAAATGATGCGCTGGGAATATTTTTGTGGTTGGAAGTGGGAATTTTCTTTGGGAAATCAGGAGTTTTAGGTTGTTTTGGGGATCTTTGACTTATAAAAGGAGTGAAAATACAGGAGAAATGCAAAATAATCCCACATGGAGCTTCCAACCCTTGGAAGAGCTCAAGGTCTTACCTTGTCTCCTTTCAGGATGTTCTCCAGGGAAGTTATCTGGGAAAAAAAAAAACAAAACAGGGAAAAATCTGTTTTTCAGGGAACAGGAGGTGCTTGGATTCCCTGTGTCCCATTCCCAAACATTCCAGAGCTCAAGTAAAGCAGGATAAACAAGAGACAAGAGACCAAATAGACAAAAAACCCCTGGAACAAAAAGCTCTTCCCAGTTTTTCAGGGAACAGGAGGTACTTGGATTCCTCATGTCCCATTCCCAAACATTCCAGAGCTCAAGAAGTGCAGGATAAACAGGAAAACAGGAGCCCAAATAGACAAAAAATCCCAAAAATGGGGCTGAGATCAAAAATTCCGGTGGTTTCCAACAGCAGGTTGGGAGGTTTGGGAGAAAAGACCTGGAATATGGGGAGAGAGGCACCACCAGAAGCTTTTCCATGGATTCCCCATGTCCTGCTCCCAAACATTCCAGAGCTCAAGTAGAGTGGGATAAACAAGAGACAAGAGACCAAATAGACAAAAAAACCTTAGAACAAAAAGCTCGTCCCAGTTTTTCAGGGAACAGGAGGTGCTTGGATTCCTCGTGAACCACTCCCAAATATTCCAGAGCTCAAGTAAAGCAGGATAAACAAGAGACAAGAGACCAAATAGACAAAACAACTCTGGAACAAAAAGCTCTTCCCAGTTTTTCAGGGAACAGGAGGTACTTGGATTCCTCATGTCCCATTCCCAAACATTCCAGAGCTCAAGTAGGGTGGGATAAACAATAAACAAGAGACCAAATACACAAAAAAATCCCCAAAATGGGGCTGAGATCCAAAAATCAGCAGAAATGGGTGGAACTCACCACGCTTCCAGGAATTCCAGGCAGTCCAGGCTCCCCCTGTGGAGACACAACATCCCCAAAAAAAAACAGAGAGAGGAGAAATTCAATATTTTATCCCCTAAATTAACTCTCCCTCCTGCAAAATCCTGAATGGGAAGGTGCAAACCTATGGATTCTTCCTTGTCTCCGGGAATTCCCTGGGAATGGGAGGGAGAAGAGGCAGGAGGAGGAGGAGCTGT